TAGGGACATTATTCTATATTCTTACATGAAGTGAAAAGCACTCTTTTTCCATACCTTCACACAACAGCATTAAAACAAGGCCTAAGCAGTGCAACTGTAGGGACACATATTGAGAAAGTATGAAAATTACAGCCTGAAAAATATTCCAGGCTGTAGCTTTTCAGCTCTGTTCCCAGCTGATAAACTGGTCCAGCTCAAGGCTAGGGAGAATTTCTCTCAGGATGATAATTTGGTCAAAATAAAAAGGAATTAATAACAAGATAGAAGACCTGTTGTGGTGTGTGACCAGGCCCTAGCAATGGGGTGTCTTCTCTCTGAACCAATCACCTTTTCTCTACTCTTGGAGTTGCAGTCATTCTATAAATCCAAGTGTGTTTCTGAATAAACTTGTCTCTTTCTTTCTATCATGAAAGACGACCATGTAGCTGTGCATCTTATTTCCGTCACAATTAAAGGGTAGAACCCATTTCCACGGCTAAATACAACCAGTCTTCAAAGATGCTCTACCTTTTAAGATAACAATACAAAAGTTATACCTTGTTAAAATTTGATCTCAATAACAAAGGATGTTCTCCAAATAAGCCTTCAGCTCTTCTTCACAGAACACCATATTCCTTTTATCTCAAATTCGATCCAGATCACTTTCATCATATAAGGCCACATAGAAAAGCTAGTAAAAACGGTTTAGTATATACTAAATCCCAGGATTTTATTCCCAGTATTCCCAGGATAACTCACGCTGTATCCAGGGCTGTATTCCCAGGGATTCATTCCCAGTATTCCCAGTATTCCCAGTATTCCCAGTAAAACTCACACTATAACCACGGCTGTATTCCTGGGATTTCATTCCCAGTATTCCCAGTATAAATCATGCTCTATCCAGGGCAGTATTCCCAGGATTTCATTCCCAGTATTTGCAGTATTCCCAGAATTCCCAGTATAACTCACACCCTATCCAGGGATGTATTCCTAGGATTGCATTCCCGGTATTCGCAATATAACTCACGCTCTATCCAGGCTGTATTCCCGGGATTTCAAACCCGGTGTTTCCAGTATAACTCACGATTTATCCAGGGCTGTGTTCCCAGTAATTCATTCCCAGTATTCCCAGTATTCTCAGTGTAACTCACGCTGTATCCAGGGCTGTATTCCCAGGATTTCATTCCCAGTATTCGCAGTATAACTCACGCTCCACGCAGGGATGTACTCCCCAGATTTCAATCCCAGTTTTCCCAGTATTCCCAGTATAACTCACACTCTATACAGGGCTATATTTCCAGGATTTCATTCCAAATATTCCAAGTATAACTAACACTGTATCCCAGGCTGTATTCCCAGGATTTTTTTCCCAGTATTCCAAATATTGTCTGTATAAATCGAGCTGTATCCCCGGGTGTATTCCTAAGGTTTCATTCCCACTATTCCCAGTATTCCCACTATACCTCACGCTCTATCTGGGGCTGTATTCCCAGGATTTCATTCCCAGTCTTCCCAGTATAACTCACACTCTATCCAGGGCGGTATTCCAGGGATTTCATTAGCAGTATTCCCAGTCTTCCCAGTATAACTCAGGCTGTATCCAGGGCTACATTCCCAGGATTTCATTCCCAGCATTCCCAGTATTCCCAATATCACTCACGATCTTTTCCAGGCTGTAATAGTAGGATTTCATTCCCAGTATTCCCAGTATAACTCATGCGGTATCCCAGGCTGTATTCCCAGGATTTCATTCCCAGTATTCCCAGAATTCCCAGTACCACTCACACTGAATCAAGGGTTGTATTTGTGAGAATTCATTCCCAGTATTCCCAGTATTTCCAGTATCACTCACGATTTATCCAGGGGTGTATTCCCTGGATTTCATTCCCAGTATTCCCAGTATTCTCATGATAACTCATGCTGTAATCCAGGCTGTAATCCCAAAGTTTCATTCTCACGATTCCAAGTATTCCCAGAAAAACTCACAGTCTATCTAGGGCTGTTTTCCCGAGACCTCATTCCCAGTAATCTCCGTATAAATACTGCTGTATCCTGGGCTGTATTCCCTGGACGTCATTCCCAGTATTCCCCATATTCCCAGTGTAACTCACACTCAATCCAGTGCTGTATTCCAGGGGTTTCATTACCAGTATTCCCAGTTTTCCCAGTATAACTGACGCTCTATCCAGTGTTTTTTTTTCCGTCATTCTCAGTATCCCCATGATTCCCAGAAAATCTCACACTCTATCCAGGGCTGTAATCCCAAACTTTAATTCCCAGTATTCCCAGTATTCCCACTATTCCCGGTATAGCTCACACTGTATCCTGTGCTGTATTCCTGGGACTTCATTCCCAGTATTCCCAGTATAACTCACTCTGTATCCAGGGGTCTTTTACTGAGATTTCAATCCCAGTATTCCCAGTATTCCCAGGATTTCATTCCCGGTATTACCAGTATAACTCACCTTCTATCCCGGGCTGTATTCCCCGCATTACATTTCCAGTACTCCCACATTTCCTAGTATAACTAACGCTCAATCCAGGGCTTTATTCGCAGGATTTCATTCCCAGTGTTCTCAGTATTCCCAGTATAACTCATGCTATATCCCAGGATGTACTGCCAGGAATTCTTTCCCAGTATACCCACTCTTCCCAGTATAACTCACGTTCTATGCAGTACTCTATTCCCCGGATTTCATTCCCAGTATTCCCAGTATAAGTCACGCTCTATCCTGGACTGTAATCCCAGGATTTCATTTCCAGTATTCCCTGTATTCCCCATATTCCAACAATACCTCACGCTCTATCCTGGGCTGTATTCCCGGAATTCCATTCCCAGGATTCCCAGGACTCCCTGTCTAACTCACGCTCTATCCAGGACTCTGTTCCCTGGATTTCATTCCCAGGATTCCCATTATAACTCCCGCTTTATCCAGGGCTCTGTTCCCAGGATTTCATTCCCAGTATACTCACTATTCCTAGTATAACACATGCTCTATCCAGGCCTGTGTTCCCAGGATTTCATTTCTAGTATTCCCAGTATAACTCACGCTCTATCCTGAGCTGTATTCCCGGGATGTCATACCAGTTTTCCCAGTATTCCCAGTTGAACTAACCTCTATCTAGGGCTTTAGTCGCAGGATTTCATTCCCAGAATTCCCAGTATTCCCAGAATAACTCACGTTACATCCCAGACTGTATTCCCAGGATTTCATTCCCAGTATTCCCATTATTCCCAGCATGCCCATTATAACTCATGCTGAATCCAGGCCTGTATTCCCAGGATTTCATTCGCAGTATTCCCAGTATTCCCAGTATTCCCAGTATAACTCACACTCTATCCCGGGCTTTATTCCCATCCCCTCACGGTGACATTGGTGCCACCCTTGGTGTCCCCTGGGCAGACAGAGAAGGTGACAGCGTGCGGGGACACCCACAGCCAGTTCTGCAACCTTTTCAACATCTTTGAGCTCAGTGGACTCCCCTCCGAGGCCAACCCTTACGTATCCACACCCTGAGTGATCCCCTGGGATGGGGTGGGGGACCCTGAGGGGACACTGGGGACACTCTCAGGAGGCTTCTTTGTCCTGAGCTTGTGACAGATTTTCAATGGGGACTTTGTGGACCGTGGCTCCTTCTCGGTCGAGGTCGTCCTGACACTCTTTGGCTTCAAGCTCCTTTACCCCACCACTTCTATCTGCTCCAAGGTAATTCCAGAGCCTGGCCAGCCCTGGGGGTTTGTGTCCCCACAGCTGTCCCCTCTTGTCCCCTCATTGTCCCCATTGGATCACTATCTGGCAGCTCCCATTGTATGGTATAGCTCTCTTTCTGGCAGGTCGTGTAAAGGGGAGTTTTTGTCACTGTCCCATCCCTGTCCCCTTGAGGTTGTTGACATCCCTGGGGTTGGGGACATCTCTGTCCCCTTGGAGTTTGTGGCATCCCTGTCCCTTGGAGGGGTTTGGAGACATCCCTGTCCCTTGGAGTTGGTGGCAAGCCTGACAGTGTCCCCAGGGATGGCAGTTGTCCCCAGGGGTGGCATTTAATCTAATGGCTCACTATTTGGCACTCGTAGATGCTATGTCGCACCCACATGAGAGGGGAAAAGGAGAAAGTCCTCACACCAGGCTAGGTGAACAGGAAAAGACTACTCTATTGACATGATTTGTCTATATAAAGACATCTTACAGTGGTCATGGATTGGACAATGCTAAAGACACTTCTCTGATTCCATTGTCTAATTCCAATGTCCATCCATTCTTTCTTCCTCCGAAGAGGAATGCAAACAACTCTATGTTTATCAGAAAAGAGTGTGAGAAAATGTAGCAAGAATGTGTCAACAATCAGAAGGCAAAAACTCAAAGGCAACACTCTCCCCATTTGAATCTGCTGGCTTTGATGCTGATATCTCAGATTTCCCCAAAACAAGACAATCATCTCCTCTAACATTTTCTACAGCCTGCTGCTCAGTCTCTCCCCTCTCACCCTCAATCGTATCACCCTGACCTTCCTCCCCCAAATTCCCCCTCCTCTTTCCCAAGGTGATCTCATGCATGGGTGGGGGGATGGGAATCTCTCGAGCAGGCACAGAAGCCGCTGCTAGGCTGCAGCATGGGGTGGGGACAGGTGAGACCCCCTCTGAGGGTGGGCGGGAGACCCGATGTGGGGCAGGGACCAGTGTTGTGGCTGCAGAGCGCGGGCTGGTGACAGAGAAACTGGGGCCCCTCACTCGCGAAACACGGCTAGAGCAGCATCAATGATGGTGCTGCCGGCCGGTCCCCAGAGCCGTTCTCCTCGGGGTTTGTGCTTGAAAAAAATCAAGGCACGAGTGATTTGTAATAATTGGACATCACTGGACAAAGCAGCAAAGAAGTCTCTGTCTTGTCAGAATTAGTAAATGGCTAATTTAAAGATTCCATGACCAATCTCCAAGAAGGTAATAACAAAGGGGCTTCTTCATGTCTCCTAGTAGTATCATCTGAAAGCTTAAGTCCTACCTGATCCCATAGAAAAGTACTTAAAACAGAATCGGGATCTATACTTGGAAAATTCTTCTGAACATATGTTAAAAGGTCTCTTAACTCTTCATCTGGAACATTAAAGTCATTTTTCCTTAATAAAAATTTTAAGTAATCAAAGATATATTTCTGTTCTTCACATACATTTTTTGCCATCTCTATAGATTTCCTCAAAGCTTAACTCATCTCAATATAAAATATATTCCTGCTCTTTTGGCATATTATTTCCCAAGCTCTTAGCTTGCCCCAAAAACTCACCTCAAAGCTCACATCAATAGAAGATAGGCGATGAGAAGTTCTGGCTTCTTCCACAGTCGTCCACCTCTTATGGGTGCTTGCTCCTCTCAGCATTCGATGGGGTGTCCAGCCTTCTCCTTACCACACTTAAATGAGGCCTTTGAGGAGGCCCGACAGTAGCTTAAATCCTTTTAAAGAGAAGCAAAAGCACGGCACCAAACACAGGGCACCAAATGTGAGGTTATACCCCGGGTGCTCTAGGCACCCAACTGTTGCATTATTTCCTTCTTTAAAAAGCAAAGCAAGTTAATAGTTGCTATAAAGTTATTTATTATAGAAGCACATCAGTCTCAAAGGCAAAAACAAAGCAAAGCAATGGCAAAAAGCAATCGCATAAAAGCAATGGCAAAAGCAATGGCATAAAGCAATGGCAAAACTGCAGCGGCAAAATGGACATGGCATGAAGCCATGGCATAGAGCCCCAGCTCTCCCTGATGCATGTTTTTTTGAGAAACTTTCCAACTAGCTAAAACACAAACTCGGACCACTACTCCTTAACCTATTAGAGTTCTAGTTTCTCAGCACATCAGGCTACATATAAACTATGTACATGGCCTATGTTCTAACTGAAAAATGTAAGCAATATTCTTAACTCTAACTCTATTATGTCTGAAGCTAGGTTCTTGGAGCCTCTAAGGAAACACTAGTATGCTTTTCAACCTTCACTAGAACATGTACTACTTCTCTGGCGTCTAAGACCTTTTACTCACTAAAAGCACTTAAAACTTGTTCCATTTACTTACTTACTCGCTCCATCGGTTCACTTACTCATTGCATCTACTCACTTACTCATTCCATCCAAAGGCTTTAATTCAATCCCTTCACTGATCTCTCTCTGAAGGAATCAGAGAGACTCCTGACTTACTAACTCCAACAAGAAGGACAGTTCTTTTCCATTTAAAGGAAAGCCCAGAGCTCCAGAGTTTCAGGGGAACATGAGAAGAGACCCTTGACATGCCAAGGTCAGTTGGACAAGTCAGGCCAAGCCAAGCAGACCTGTTACCTGTTCCCTTGGATTCATGGGGCCCCACAATGTCACAATGGCCCCTTGTTTCCATGGGGCCTTGTAATGTCACAATGGTCCTTTTCTTCCAGGATGCTTTGCAGGGTCAAGATGGTTTTCTTGGTTCCATGGGACTGAGTAATGACAAAATAGTCCCTTGGTTCCATGGGGCTGCAGAGTGTCACAATGGTCGCCGTGATTCCATTCAGTCCTGCAGTGTCACAAGGGTCCCTTGGTTCCATTGGGCTCCACAGTGTGACAACTGTCCCTTGCTTCCATGGGGCCTTGCAGCATCACAATGGCCTCCTTGCTTCCACAAGGTCCTGCAGAGCCCCTTAATTCAATGAGGCCCTGAAGTGTCATAGTGGTCTCCAGTATTCCATGAAGGCCCACGATGTCACATTCAACATTTGGTTCCATGGGGTCCTGCACTGTCACATGAACCTTTAGTTCCCTGGGGCCCTGCACTGTCACAATGGTCTCCTTGGTTCAGTGGTGCCTGTGGCAGGACGTCCACCTACCCCTACCACAGACAGGTGGTGAATAAAGAGATAACCCTGGCTGAAAGGCCCAGCAAGGTGTCATCTCTGGTGCCTAAAGGGCTCAGGCCTCAGGTAAGAATCTACATCTTAGTCTGGAGAGCAGACACGGCAAGAGATAAAAGAAATACTCTTGACTGAGAGACACTGTTTTACAAACTATAAAAGACATACAAGTTATCACAGAGGCAGAAGCCACTATACACACACACTGAATGTGTAAAGGACTTCTCCTTGTAGTTTGGACACAGATTGCGGTTACTTCCCTGGGGATTGAGGGAAAGGATCTTGATGTGAGACCCCACCAACAATTGGATGGTAAGATATATCGAATTCTAAGTTGTATTATTTCTTTGCTAGTTGTAACATTAAGAACTTTGTGCTGTATATACCTGCTAGAAGTCTCTTTTCGTCCTTGTTCCTGTGTAGTATTAGTTTAAGTCTTATGTCTGTTAGTTTTCTGTCTATTAAATAAATAATTCTTTCTATATTAGACCAAAGCAGCCATTATAAAAAAATTGCAAACAAGAGTGGGTTTTGGGGTGCTGGCCACCTCAATAAAGCTGCTGCATTCTGGACAAAGGGCAGGGACTCATCTAAACCCCCACATCCACTTTTAACAGTGCCACACATAGCCACAATTGCCCCTTGGCCCAACAAGGCCCCATAGTGTCACAATGGATTCCTTGGTTCTGTGGGGCTGCAAAGTGTCACAATGGCCCCTTTGTTCAATGAGGCCTGTTGTGTCACAGTAGTCTCCATGATTCCATAAGGCTCTGCAATGGAACAATAGACCATTGGTTCCATGAAATCCCACAGTGTCACAATGGACCCTTGGTTCTGCAATGTCAGAAAGTCCCCTTGGTCACTTGGAGCCTCACAGTGTCACCATTGTTCCCTTAGTCTTGGTTCCATAAGTCCCTGCAGTGCCAAAATGCCCTTTGGTTAGACGAGGCCTCAAAGTGTCATCCTGGTCTCCATGGTTCCCATGAAGCCCCACTGCTTCAAAATTGCCTCCTTGGTGCCATGGTGCCCTGTAGATGGCAGAACTGCCAGAGCCCAGCCCTGGGCACAGGGAAGCAGCTGCTGGCAGGGACAGCTCCAAGCAGCAGAGCCCTGGGCAGGCAGTGGGGGGGAAATGCCATCAAGCTGGGCTGGGACATTTAAAGCCCTCTACAAACAGAACTCTTCCATGATTACTTTTCTTACAGATCCCCATGCCAAGACACAGCAAATATCCAACAGCAGCTCCATCAGCCACTTCCTCCTGCTGCCATTGGCAGACACATGGCAGCTGCAGCTCCTGCACTTCTGCCTCTTCCTGGCCATCTCCCTGGCTGCCCTCCTGGCCAACGGCCTCATCATCAGCGCCGTAGCCTGCGGCCACCACCTGCACACCCCCATGTTCTTCTTCCTGCTCAACCTGGCCCTCAGTGACCTGGGCTCCATCTGCACCACTGTCCCCAAAGCCATGCACAATTCCCTCTGGGACACCAGGACCATCTCCTATGCTGGATGTGCTGCTCAGGTCTTTCTGCTTGTCTTTTTCTTTTCAGTAGAGTATTTCCTCCTGACCATCATGTGCTAAGACCGCTACATGTCCATCTGCAAACCCCTGCACTACGGGACCCTCCTGGGCAGCAGAGCTCATGCCCACATGGCAGCAGCTGCCTGGGCCAGTGGCTTTCTCAATGCTCTGCTGCACACGGCCAATACATTTTTCCTGCCCCTGTGCCAGGGCAATGCCCTGGGCCAGTTCTTCTGTGAAATCCCACACATCCTCAAGCTCTCCTGTTCAAATTTCTGCCTCAGGGAACTTGGGCTTCTTTTGTTTTCCATTTGTTTAGGTTTTGGTTGTTCTGTGTTCATTGCTTTCTCCTATGTGCAGATCTTCAGGGCAGTGCTGAGGATCCTCTCTGAGCAGGGACAGCACAAAGCCTTTTCCACCTGCCTCCCTCTCGAGGCTGTGCTCTCCCTGTTTATCAGCACTGGGATATTTGCCTACTTTAAGCCCCCCTCAATTTCTTTACCATTCCTGGATCTGGTGGTGTCAGTTCTGTACTCAGTGGTGCCTCCAGCCCTGAACCTCCTCATCAACAGCCTAAGGAACCAGGAGCTAAAAAAGGATGCCCTGTGGAGACTGATGACTGGAGGATTTCAGAAACAACAAACCATCTCTTTTCTGCTACAGAGCATTCACAATATAACTATTTACAATCTCAGCCTTTTTAAAAATTTTTCTCTATTTTTTTGTTAATGCGTTTTCTGATTATTTTTCTACTGTTGTAGTGTTGTTCATACAAGACTGTATTATTATTCTTAGCAGTTATGCATTAATATCTCTCTTTCCTGTGAAATACAAAGACTTTCAGAAGGCTTGTTTGGTTGGCATGTAAAGAAAAAGAAGTGATTGCCCTGACTCGTATGTTCATGACGCTTCCTGATCCATTCTCGGTCTCTGCAGGGGCAGTGCCCGTGAACAGAGGTGGAGGTTTGAAGTGACAGCGAGGGAGACCAGAGGGACATCATTAAAGCTCTGGGAGCTCCCAAGGTCAGAGGGAGCTGGGGAAATGGGGCGCTCAGTAAAGTCTGCCAGGGAACCAGCACAGGCCTAGGCCAGGCTAGAAGAGCCACAGTGGGGGTGACCAAAGGCCTTGGGGGGCTGGGACCACCCCTGCCAGCAGCAATGACATTTGTGCCCCCTGGCTGTGGCTGCTCTCCCTCCCACTGAGGCCCATGAGAAGACACCAGTTCCTTCCAAGCCCAGGGCTGGTGGCCTCCTCCCCCACCCCACAAAGCTATGGAGGGCTCCTGCGGCTCTCCAGCCCTCACCATTCCCTGCTCACATCCCACTGCTCCAGGACAGCCACGAGCATCCTGTGAGGTCAGCGATGGGATGAGGAGATGGGGTCAGGGCTTGTCTGTCCCTCTTGGCACAGCTCAAGCAGGGTATTCACAGCCACATCCCACAATGAAAATGAATCCATTACATTTAAAAAAGAATGACAAAATATCTTTTATTTTCCTGTTGATTCTTTTCCATTCCATACACTGATATCAGCAATCTCCAGTTGATATTGATTCCAAGCACCTCCTAATGCAGTCTGAACAAATATGAAAATCAAGACCCTTTATGGCTGACAATCAGTTAGACTCTGTCACTACCCCCGTCCCACCATTTCCCCCATCGAATCCTAGAGCAGCCTTGTGCAAATCTGAGCTCCCTCCTCTCCAGGCTGTGCCTGTGGCTTTCAGCTCCTTGGCACCATCTCGCACCTGCTTTCCTTGGAGAAAGAGCTGCCTGAGACACAGAGGGATGTTCATTTATTGTCAGCAAACAAAACCAAAGGCAGGCCCAGCTCCATAAAGAGCAGAAGTCCAGCCCAAGGAGTGGTGGCAAATGGAGCCACATCCAGGGGTGTGCCCAGGACTCAGGATTGAGGCCAGGTCAGTTAAATCTCTTTATTGATGATAGGATGAGGGCATCAAGGGCAAGCTCAATCAGTTGCCAAGTGAGCCCAAGCTGGGTGGGAGTGTGGCTGTGCTGCAGGGCAGGAAGCTCTGCAGAGGGATCTGGACAGGCTGGAGCCATGGGCCCAGGACAATTGGATGAGGTTCACCAAGGCCAAGGGCTGGGTCCTGCTCTGGGCTCACAACCACCCCAAATCCCTGGCCGTGCCCTGCCCCTGATCCCCACAGCCTCTCCTGTTCCCTTCATCCCTGCATTGCCAGGGACTTTGTGGGACAAGGCAGCTCTGCTGTGGGTATGGAGGGAGGTCCAAGTGCCACCACTGCAATGGGAACCACAACTCATCAGGTTTGTGTCCTTTGGGGATCAGCAACTAGTGAGACTCAGAGGCGTAGGAAGGTTTCTCTTCTCTGCCAACAAACAAAAGTTCAACATGATAAAATTTAATAACCATCACAGTTCTTCCCTCAGCTCTGTGCAATGTCCCAGCAGTATCTGACGAATCTACCACTCACAAGGGATTTCTGTACAAAACCAATTTTAGACAAAGATGATTCTGTGACAGATATAAACGCTGTTCAAGTGTTGTATGAGGATGCTCTGCTTGGACTGGGGGTTAAACATCTCAAACAATGCCTGAGATGCAAAGCTGTCAGTGGTAGATGGAGGAGTCAGGCTAATTTTGATTTTTGTTGAGGAAATCCTGAAACCAGACTGACTCATTTTATCTCCTCCTGTCCTGGCTGATCTCCTTTCTTGCCTCTTCCACCCATTGTGTTTTGTCTCCCCCCAGGCCCCCAGGTGAAGAGCCTGGCTCTGTGTTCTCCATCACCTCCTGGGAGGCACAACCAGGCTGGGATGAGGAACCTCTCAGCCTTCCCTGCTCCAGGCTGGACAAGCCCAGCTCCCTCAGCCTCTCCTCACAGCCAAAGGGCTCCAGCCCCACCTTGGAGGCCCTTCCCTCACCCTGCTCCAGCTGCCAGACATCTTTCCTGCCCTGAGGAACCCAAGCCCGGCTCCAATGACCTGGATAATCCATGTCCTTCATGTGTTAGTCACAGCCCTGTCCCCTTGTCCCTGTGTCAGGCTCTGGTGTTGATTTGTGAAACACCCTTGTGTCACAATCTGCTATTAATGCAGGGCGGGGGTCGTGATGGTTCTTTTGATCTTAAAGGTGCAAACAGGCAAAATGCAGGCAACAAAATCAGTTTATTCAACAGCAGAAAATCAGTTTATTCAACAACAGCAATGCATTTCATCAAACGCCAACAATTCAGTTACGGTAGAGGGAAGAGGTATAGGAAACAAAGTATAGGGAAAGGGGAAGGAAAGAAGGGGATGGGAAAATAGTTACCAACAGACGAGACGGGCATCCTCACGGGTCATGCGACAGACAAGTCTTCGTCCGTGGGGAGATCTCAGGGGTTTCCTCCAGGGGGTCTTCATCAGTGGAGAGATCTCAAAGGGTCTTTTCCAGAGGGTCGCTCTTTTATAGTCCTTCTCCAAAGCAAGTGGCTTCTGGCCAAGTTGTGGGAAGATTTATGGACCATTGTGTGGTGCTGCAGGAGACAGGTATGGTCAAGCAGTCCTCAGTTGGTACAACACAACCTCTGGTTGGTGCCACAACAGCACGGTCCAGTGAACACAATACACCAGCACACAGTCATGAGCATCCACCTTGGCCAGGCCAGTAAACCATTGTTCAGAGTCAGCCTGGGTGGGGTCCTCGAGGTCTCCTTGCGACGGTCGGGAGGCAAAATGGAGGGGAACTTCGGACCGACCCTTACACCTTGGGGGAGGCTGTGGCTCCAGGTGGACCAGGGGGATACCGGGGGACAGGAGACCCTGCTGGGCATGAACAACATTGGGCTTGTCTGGGGAAACTGTGAGGGGGGGCTGGGGCAGAGTGACCAACCCAGTGACCTCACATAGCCCTGCTGTCACGTCACACGGCCCCCTCCTGTCATGTCACAGCCTGCTCTGTGATGTCAGACCTCTGTCCTGTGATGTCACAGTCAGCTCTATGATGTCACAGAGACAGCCTGTGATGCTCAATGACTTCACATAACCCACTCTGTGATGTCATAGCCCACCTTGTGATGTCATAGCCCACTCTGTGGCCTCATGTTACCAGATGATAAATTGCCTACCCCAGCTGAGCTAACACAATGCTTGTTCTCCAAAACCACTGGCCTCTGGAAACTGCACAATGCCCCTTGTGTAAGAAGGGGAACTGGATGTTCCTCAGCCTCAGTGTCCTGCCAGCTCAGCCGGGCTGGCTGGAATATTGGAAATATCCACGACCACCAGGGACAACTAGAGAGACTCCTAGGACAGAAGAATGCATGGGTAAAGGGGTAGGGAAATATGTTAATGATTTTGGAGAAATGCTTACCATATGTGTGTTTAGTCCAGGACAATCAATGAATATGTATTCAAAATACAGAATATAAACAGAAACTTTCCTGTACTCAGCATGCATGGCTTTGGGAAGAGCTGTCCCCCTGGGTATCCAGCCAAATAAGAATGCTGCTTTTTAATGCTACATTGGTGTTTAGGAATTTTTTATTTTACCAAATTTTTGGTAACACACCCACTCCCAAGGAAAGCTCTGTCGCCTGCTATTCACAAAGAGAGAAGTGCTGGTAGGAGATGTCATGATCAGAGGCTGCCTGGGGTACAGTGACCATGAAATAATTGAGTTTTCAATATTCTGTGAAAGAAGGAGGGGCATCCACAAAACTTTTCCACTGGAATTAGAGAGGGCAGACTTTGGTCTATTCAGGATGCAGACTTGGGGATAACTGAATCAGGTACTGATTTTTTAAGAGAACAGCCCCTAAAAACAAAGGAGTCCGGGAAGGATGGACACACTTCAAGAAAGAAATTTTGAAGGAGCAAGAGTAGCCTGTCCCTCTGTGCCAAAAGTGAGCTAGCGAGGAAAATGACTGGCTTGGCTGGGCATAGAGCTTTTGCAGGAACTCAGGGAAAAAAGAAAGTGCATCACCTTTGGACAGAGGGGCAAGGAACTCAGGAAGTGTTTTAGGTTTTTGTCAGGTATTGCAGAAAGAAAAGTAGAGAGGTGAAAGCTCCATTAGAGCTTAACCTGGTTTCTTTTGTGAAGAATAATGAAAAACAGTTTTATAAATAAATTATTAACTAAATCAGGTGTTTTCTTTTACCCAACCTGGAAATGAAACTTGAGATAATTTTAGTTAAGATGTATTATAAAAGGGAATCTTTATTTGAAGGTCTTCAGAGGCAGCTATGGAAAGATGTCTACAAAAGCACCACCACCTTCTCCTCTCCCCAGGGGCGAGTACATTTTTATAGGTTCTAGGAAATTAGCAAAATTGATAAAAATCACCAATTAGGAGGACAAATTGTGATGCAATTCTCCCCCAGGTCAAGTGTCTTCTCTGGAGTCCCCCTTCAGCACTAGCTGTGCTTTGTCCATGAGAATGTATCTCAAAGATTTGTTCTCAGCCTTGGTTCCCAGGAAGAACCAAGACGGCACAGGGGTCTTGTACCTCGCTTGGTGCTCTGGAACTTGTTTAACCTTTCTGCTTAAGGAAAGGTCGTGGAAAAGTACTGGGAAAACTAGTCACTAATACAATAGACTACAGAGCTACAAATATATGTGTGAGGAATACAGAGAATGTATAAAAGAAAAAAGGCAAAACCGAAACAGCATCACAGGGACAAGAAGTACCTCAACTCTTAATTGGCTGCAGTGGGGAATATAGTAACTAAAGATGAGGAAAGGTTTGAGGCACTTAACCATTTCTTTGCCTCCGTTTTCAACAATAGGACAGATTGTCCTCAGGACAAGTGTTCTCCTGAGCTGGTAGATGGGGACAGGGAGCAGAACAGACCCCTGTAATCCAGGAGGAAGCAGCTGGGGACCTGCTGAGCAACTCAAATGCTCACTGGTGTCTCTGGGAGCATATGGAATCCATCCTGGGGGGATGAGGGAGCTTGTAGATGAGCTCCTCAAGCTGCTCTCCATCATTTCTCATCAGTGCTGGCTCAC